TCGTTCACATGGTCTGTTGTCATGTTGGTATCATCCACATTCAATGGTAAGAATATAACTTAATGATAATTCAATGAGGAAGCATGGTAACAAATTAATCATTGATCCAATATATGGAAATGGTACTTTAATCGTCATTCACATAGTCTGTTGTCATGTTGGTATCATCCAAATTCAATGGTAACATTGGATAACTTAATGATAATTCAATGAGGGAGCATGGTAACATATTAATCATTGATCCAATATATGGAAATGGTACTTTAATTGTCGTTCACATAGTCTGTTGTCATTTTGGTATTATCCGCATTCAATGGTAACAATATAACTTAATGATAATTCAATGAGGGAGCATGGTAACATATTAATCATTGATCCAATATATGGAAATGGTGCTTTAATTGTCGTTCACATAGTCTGTTGTCATGTTGGTATCATCCACATTCAATGGTAAGAAGATAACTTAATGATAATTCAATGAGGGAGCATGGTAACAAATTAATCATTGATCCAATATATGGAAATGGTACTTTAATTGTCGTTCACATTGTCTGTGATTGTCATGTTGGTATCATCCACATTCAGTGGTAACAAGATAACTTAATGATAATTCAATGAGGGAGCATGGTAACAAATTAATCATTGATCCAATATATGGAAATGGTACTTTAATTGTCGTTCACATTGTCTGTGATTGTCATGTTGGTATCATCCACATTCAGTGGTAACAAGATAACTTAATGATAATTCAATGAGGGAGCATGGTAACAAATTAATCATTGATCCAATATATGGAAATGGTACTTTAATTGTCGTTCACATTGTCTGTGATTGTCATGTTGGTATCATCCACATTCAGTGGTAACAAGATAACTTAATGATAATTCAATGAGGGAGCATGGTAACAAATTAATCATTGATCCAATATATGGAAATGGTACTTTAATTGTCGTTCACATTGTCTGTGATTGTCATGTTGGTATCATCCACATTCAGTGGTAACAAGATAACTTAATGATAATTCAATGAGGGAGCATGGTAACAAATTAATCATTGATCCAATATATGGAAATGGTACTTTAATTGTCGTTCACATTGTCTGTGATTGTCATGTTGGTATCATCCACATTCAGTGGTAACAAGATAACTTAATGATAATTCAATGAGGGAGCATGGTAACAAATTAATCATTGATCCAATATATGGAAATGGTACTTTAATTGTCGTTCACATTGTCTGTGATTGTCATGTTGGTATCATCCACATTCAGTGGTAACAAGATAACTTAATGATAATTCAATGAGGGAGCATGGTAACAAATTGTTAACAAATAATTATTGATCCAATATGTGGAAATGGTACTTTAATCATTATTCACATGGTCTGTTGTCATGTTGGTATTATCCGCATGCAATGGTAACAACTAAGATAACTTTATTAATGATAATTCAATGAGGAAGCATGGTAACATATTAATCATTGATCCAATATGTGAAAATGGTACTTTAATTGTCGTTCACATAGTCTGTTGTCATGTTGGTATCATCCACATTCAGTGGTAACAAGATAACTTAATGATAATTCAATGAGGGAGCATGGTAACAAATTAATTATTGATCCAATATATGGAAATGGTACTTTAATTGTCGTTCGCATAGTCTGTTGTCATGTTGGTATTATGCGCATTCAATGGTAACAAGATAACTTAATGATAATTCAATGAGGGAGCATGGTAACATATTAATCATTGATCCAATATGTGGAAATGGTACTTTAATCGTCGTTCACATAGTCTGTTGTCATGTTGGTATCATCCACATTCAGTGGTAACAAGATAACTTAAATTAATGATAATTGAATGAGGAAGCATGGTAACATATTAATTATTGGTCCAATATATGAAAATGGTACTTTAATCGTTGTTCACATAGTCTGTTGTCATGTTGGTATCATCCACATTCAGTGGTAACAAGATAACTTAACGATAATTCAATGATCCCTGGGAGCATGGTAACAAATTAATTATTGATCCAATATATGGAAATGGTACTTTAATTGTGGTTCACATAGTCTGTTGTCATGTTGGTGTTATCCGCATGCAATGGTAACAACTAAGATAACTTTATTAATGATAATTCAATGAGGGAGCATGGTAACATATTAATTATCATTGATCCAATATGTGGAAATGGTACTTTAATTGTTGTTCACATAGTCTGTTGTCATGTTGGTATCATCCACATTCAGTGGTATTACAAGATAACTTAATGATAATTCAATGAGGGAGCATGCAGTAACAAATTAATTATTGATCCAATATATGGAAATGGTACTTTAATTGTCGTTCGCATAGTCTGTTGTCATGTTGGTATTATGCGCATTCAATGGTAACAAGATAACTTAATGATAATTCAGTGAGGCCAGGAGCATGGTAACATAATAATCATTGATCTAATATGTGGAAATGGTACTTTAATCATTGTTCACATAGTCTGTTGTCATGTTGGTATCATCCACATTCAGTGGTAACAAGATAACTTGAATTAATGATAATTGAACGAGGAAGCATGGTAACATATTAATTATTGGTCCAATATATGAAAATGGTACTTTAATCGTTGTTCACATAGTCTGTTGTCATGTTGGTATCATCCGCATTCAAATATGTTGACAGGATAAGTTAATTAATGATAATTCAATGAGGGAGCATATGGTAACATGTTAATCATTGATCCAATATATATGGAAGTGGTACTTTAATTATGGTCGTTCACATAATCTGTTGTCATGCATGTTGGTATCATTCGCATTCAATGGTAACAAGTAACTTAATGATAATTCAATGAGGTAGCAATTGGTAACATATTAATCATTGATCCAAATATATGGAAATGGTAGGGTATGGAAATGGTCTGTTGTTATGTTGGTATTATCCAGATTCAATGGTAACAAGATAACTTAATCATAATTCAATGAGGGAGCATGGTAACATATTAATCATTGATCCATTATATATGGAACTAGCATTAGAGTTTGTGTTACTGTTCAACATGATGATAAACTAACAATCAACAATTGGTAATCAGATAATTTTGTGATGGTCATCATGGTGCAACATGCATGGTGCATTTGTGAGTGAATTTATTCTGGAGTGGTAACCAGAGAATTTTATCATGGTAGTCAAGAGACATTATCCAGGACACAGTATAACTGTAGAATACATGGTGGTTCTACCATGAGACATGCATGGTGCATTTGTAAGTCAATTGATTCTGAAATTTTGGTAACCAGATCATTTTATCATGGTAGTCAAGAAACTTTAATGGATTGACTCGATGGAAATAACAAGACAATTTACTATTCCAAGACATATTGATAACCATGCAAGTTCACCATGAACTGTTGGTATAAGCAGATAATTGAATGGTCGTTGAAATACAGATGACAGGTGTCCATTGGAACCAGATACATAATGGATATTGAAAAGACTTTATATGGTGGTCAAGAGACTTTACCATTATCCAGAACATTGTGGTATATAACTGCATGTAGAATACATGCACAATACATAGTTGTGAATTGATGACTAGCTGTTCAAAACCGGAATGGAAGGTAGCATTTAATTTGTGACGAATGAATGCTTGGATGCAAAGTAAATCTGTTTCAAGCTATCTTGTGTCCATATCGGCTGGAAGCAATCTGGGTATTTTCTAATGCTTCATATTAATTGATATTAAAATTAAACACATTTATATGTGAAAACTGAAAAGCTAATTGCCCGACACATATTTGGAAATGTGTTTCAAATCGAGAATTTTTTTGTATGAATACAAAGTAGAAAAGTCCGATCCTCAGGTCACACAAGTCTGCTGCCGAAGACCTGAAATCAATAACTTACCATCAGCAAAATACAAAAAAAAATCCAGAAAAAGTTCTATAACATTGTCTGGCCATCAAAATTTAAGACCAATAATGTATCCAAGGGACCATCAACAAATAGATTTCATCTTGTCAAGCATTGGGGGCAGTGTGTCATTGGTTAGTACTTTTCTGGGTGACATTATTGTAACATATATTGTCCACAATAGGGCTGGGTGGGGCTTAAGTAATTCTCAAATCAGTCTGGCAACGCAGGACGAAATCAGTGTTTGACGACAGTCCCAAATGAAGCAGATCCATATTTACCAACAGAGCTCAATGCACAACTGGAGTAATATGTTGGAATATATAATTTACATCTGCTGATGTGCAATCACAGGCATGCAGCCCAATCTTCCATGGTTGCCATCTTCCTAGTAAGTGTCACTTGCATGATTAATCGTCATTTGGAGAAATTTCAATATGAAGTGCTAATGTGCCGACGGATCAATGATTGTAAGTCGATTGTTTGCCTTTGTCATGTGTAATTATTCCTCTTTTGTTGGACTATTAATGTTTTCCTATATTTTTACTATAATATACATTAATTACTATAACTATACTATATATACTGACCCATGCAAGATTGGGCCGCCTGTGATGCAATAGGATTAATGAGAGCAAACTTTTTGTTATGACAATAAAAAAATCCTGAAAAATGTATTATGCAAAGTCCGATTTATTTCCAAGTGTCAAACTATTATTCCAGTTACATATAGAGCTCGTCGTATCCACAAAATTGCCGCCATATTCAACCGCCATGACTAATTGAAGATGTTGGGAAAAGTACTAAACAATTCTCATGCTATTTACAGACCATTAGCTGGACTAATGTTCATCTTTGAGGCATAGTTAATCTTGGTGAACATTATCATTTATGTAGTAGTCTGAATATTTCATGATGGATTTTAGGCTGGCAGCAAATAGCTTGAAAATTGCTTGTACTTTGTCATATCCTGATGTCAAAATCCATAACAGGCCATCACCATGGCAACATGATGACTTTACTACGATTTGTTACAAACACAGTATTGCATATCTGTGGAGTGCTTCCAAAACATTTGTTGCTGAGTTGCCAGATAATGAAAGCAGTGGGTGGGAGTCTTCGATATACAACACTTGTCTGCATAGGATTGTAGTATAATCACCATATTGTCTTCTTTTCTAATTTTTATACAATGGATAATATCAGCACTCAAATTAGATGGTTGAACTCAAAATGTGCAAGTTAGTACATTTTTTGCTTCTTTTGCAATATTAATTGCAAGGTTTATTTCCTATAGGTGAAATTTGCTTCAAATTATCCTTTCAAAAATTTACAGGATTCAAAAAGTTCCAAATCAAAATTCTCTTTCTGTCAAACTGCAAAAGTTTGTGTGTTCCTTTCCAATTTGAGCTCTGATATCCATAAATCCGAACGAATTTTGCTACCAGTTGCATAGGCATATAAGATGGTCAGGGGACAATGCAAGTGACACAACATTGCCCTTACTAACGACCTATGAATACTAGATTGCAATTGAAAAAGATTTTTATTTGTAGGGTAGAGTAACACCCTTCCCTACAAGGGTTGGGCCTTGGTGGTGGTGGGGGGACACCCCTGTCTATATCTTTTATGCCTATGCAAATTTCAATTGAATTCAAAGAATTTGTTGCAGCAACGAGTTTCTATAAAAGCTTTTAATTTTGCCGTTTTTGACAGCCGAAACAAAAAGCCAAAGCATTTTTCCTCGCTTGAAAGTCTGGGTTTAGGCCAAAAAAATGTTTGCTTGAGTCCAGAAAAAAATTCATTGAGACTGAAAGAATTTTTAGTAAAAAAGGCCAAACACTCTTTAGTTTGACAAAAAAAACTTTGAAAGTAACTCGTTCTTGCAAAACCCCGAAAAGCGCACGCGTTTTTGTGGCAATTCTTGTTGTTCACGCCATATGATTCCCATGGGTGTGACGAGTGACGCCAACTGGCTTTCGGAATCTATTGAGTGCTTCAAAAAAGTTGCAAAAAATTTACCAAACTCGTAAACAAGTGACGTCAGACAAGTTTTTCTCCGCTTTTTCACTCGAAATTCACTAAAAAATTTTCAAAACTTTTTGTTTTAACTTTTTTTTGAAGATAGCGAAGTAAACGAACAAATATTGCCACAAAAATGCCAATAGTAGGCTATTAAAGCTAGCAGTCATATATACTAGCAGTAGACCACAGACGCCGCGGCAGACGCCGCGACTTAAGACTTCAAATGGTTTCATGAAAGTTTTGAAGTCAAAATTGAACCGAAAACATGCAATGAAAACACATAAAAATGATTAAAAGCATACCTTTTTGTAGCCTTGGACGACAGTAACACTGGAACTGCTTCTAGTTGATGCAAATTGCTTCGTTCTAAATAAAAAAGACCCAAATTAACTCGAGATAATTCATAATTGTAACACTAATCCGCTAATTTCTTACTTGAACGGCGAAAAAATTCACAACTGAATTCGAAACAAAAATTGAGCAAAAAAACCTGAAAAAACCCCGATTGAACTCTTACCTCAGCTGGTTTAATCGATGTAGGCTTTCTTAATTCTACAAAAAAGGCAAAGAAAAAACATTTTAGCACGAAAAAGCGAACATTTTGACGCGCGCTTTTCACAAACAACAAAGTCAAAGTCAAGACTTTCCCAAAATTTTACCTTTGAACAACTTTTGAACTTCTTTTGAACCATTTTCCAAGCTTTCTGTACCTGAGAAAGAGCAATAGAAAAAATATTCAAGCAAAGTTGGTTGGGCGCCCGCACTTCGTTCAAAAATAGGGCAAAAGATTAAAAAGAAAAGCTAAGAAACGTAAATACATACCTTCCGTATTAAAGCAACAGTTCGTTACGAAATAATTTGATATCTACTTGCATTTTTTCTTCATTTTCAGTTTATTTTTTTGCAAGAACGCGGTAGAAATGACCCTTCGTGAACGACGCTTTCCAAGTTCTGCCAAAAGAACCACCTGCCACCAGCAGCGCTACTGACACAACTTTGGGCGGGAGATGCAATGTCGACTTCTGATTGGCTACTAGTGATGACGTTGGAATCGTGGCCTCACGTTCGGAGAGCTACGAAATTTTTAGTTTGGGTTTCGGAAGGGTTCGGATTTCCAGCGAGCTCCATATATGACTGGATTGGTCATCCTCCAGCCGCATGGCAGAATATGGCAGGCGTTTCCTGCAGGCTAAATTGCCCGCATCTGAGACCCACCCATATATATATAGTACATTAACATGAAGTAACCAAAGGTATGCGATAATCTGTGGGCTCATGTTATTGTCAAATTCAAATATGACTTTATCGAGGATTTTATATTAACGTTTGAATTTTTTTGTTTTTGGAGAGAGATTGTGCCTTCTTTATGATGTTTCAAAGCTGATTGGAAGACAAGGTATTGTAATGTACATATTGTAGTTATTTATACTGCTTTATTGGCTAGAATCGTGCGAATAATGGGTGATTCCAGGCTTCCAGCTTAAAATCCACCACCACACCTAGAAAGAGCATCTTAAAATGAGTAAAAGTGCAAAGTTTGGTTGCGAAATGTGGTAAAGGGAAGAAAATATAGCTCTGTGAAATACGCGCGGTAAAAATAACTTTCCGCTCAAAAATGGTCATTTTCAATTCCCGCGCGTATTATATGCAAATTTATACAAAATTTGCGAACTTCACAGAGTTATATTATCCTCATTTTACGACATTTCGCAACCAAACTTTCCAATTTCACTCATTTTGAAATGCTCTTTCTAGGTGTCGTGTTGAATTTCGTTCTTCTCGTCTAGATCAAAATTTCGTCCATAGCTGGAATGCCTGGAATCACCCATTGCTGGAAAAGGTTTTTGAAAATGGGTCAATTTTTTATTTATAAATTGTTATTTTCTTTATTGTTTTGATTAGTCCAGTTCACAGAATTTATTTTACTTTACCTGGAATGATGACACTCAGTTATTTGGCAGTTAAAAAGTGAAGCCTCATGTGAGCAGTGCGTTAGCCCTCCACGCCATATAGTATGCCAGTTTCAGTCTCTTTATACGCCGTTACCACACTGTCCATCACCACATAGTATGTCAGTTTCACTCCCTTAATTTATACGCCATGACCGCGCGTCTATCATGAACAGTGAACTGTAAATAACTGGTGATTCACAGTGAACGGTTATTTACGGTTCACTGATCACAAATCAGCTTGCGTTTGTGAACTGGCATTGGCATTGGCTTCACATTTCTCCCGCATGTTATTGTTCCAGATAAAAGACATGGAGTTCACTGGTATAGATTTGTTTATTTTTGTATGGGAAATTATGAGATAACCACCTGGTATTCGTCACCATACCCCCAGGAATACACATAGTAAGTACGACCCACAATTTATATATTAAAGCTAAAATAATCCTGAGCCTCCACACATCTTTATTTTAGACAAGTTTGCCAAACTTTACCTTTGTGAATTCTGCCTCAAGTCCATGAAGAGTACCATATTAAAGGTACAGTATGACCTTCTGCATTGACAACTAACTTTATTTATAGTGGATATAGCTTTATCAGTTCTGAACTGTTCTTCCTAGAGGTCCAGCAAAAATCATCTCTTAATTATTGATCCAATGTTAGCACAAGAGGAAACCTAAACTACACTAACTTTATTTATACACGACAGCTCTATCAGTTATAAACTGTTCTTCCTAGAGGTCCAGTAAGTGTCATCTCTTATTGATCCAGTGTTACTACAGGAGGAAATCTAAACGGAACTAACTTTATTCAAACTGCATAGCTCTATCAGTTCTTTTGGTGGTGAAATTTCATATGTTCTCATGTTTTGTATTTATCATTTCTTTTGTAAAGATTTACTGCCAAAACCTGTGTCTGTTGGCCAAATTATTCCTGGATCACAAAACTCTTTATTATGACGTCGAGCCGTTCCTATTCTATGTGTTGACATTAAACGACAGAAAAGGTTGTCATCATCTTGTTGGCTATCTTTCTAAGGTAAGAAAATATTAAAGTGACTATGCAAAAATGTTTTTATAATTGAATTGCAAAGTTCATTTAAAATCATAATGTAACTTCTTTTCTAAAACTTTGTTATGTTTTCTGTATGTCAAGATTTTCGACTTTGTTTGATATACAAATGTGAGTTGAATGACGTCATGCTGCATAATGAGTTTTTATAAAGAAAACGTTTCCTTGCCAAACATATTACCAGGGGGCGGAGGGAAGACTATCCTTTTCGGGGGGTGCAAGACAACTTTTTGCCGACAAAAGGGGGCGTGGCTAGCACGTTGTTAGGGCGTGGTCAAAACAAACCGTATTCATTTTTAAGTGATGTACCACGATGAAATCCGAGTAGTATGATAATTTATTTTTAAAATAGGCGAAATAGTTCCTAAAATACATGCTATAAATGTCAAAAAAGCACATCCAATCGTCATCAAACAACCGATTACAAACTAAACACGTCAGTTTCTCTCTCTACTGTCCATACGTTTAAATCATCTTCGTATTTCTCATTGTATATAAGACCGTTAGGTGTTATTTCTAAGACCTTTACTGGCTTTACAACATTATGAAATGAAGCGCAAACGCATCAACAGTCAACACGCACATGTGCTTCGAGTTTCCTATGGTATCATATTTCACAAAATTGCAAGAAAATATAATACTAATACAGTAAATAGCGTATTAGTGTAATAAGTTCTTGGCCAATTTGGTGAATGTTCGGAAAAGGGCCGAGCTTTCAGTCGACATATCCATCTTTTCGATCTCGCATTTTCTACAAATTTTCTACAAATTTTCTACAAACAATCTCTCTCCAATCAGGTACTGCCTATTGACTTGATTCAATTCATTTTGCTGACAACTGATTTATTGTGCCGACGGACACAGCATTGGGGGGGGGGGGTGCGGCACCCCCCGCACCGCCCTTAGCTACGCCCCTGCATATTACTTCATCTTATGTGATAATTCCACTGACATTGAAAGTTATATACTTTAAGAACATCAAAGTTATCATTTTATCTGCAAATTTGAGTTAATTTAATGACAATTCCTAATCATCTTCGTCTAAATTCGCGAGCGGTGATGAAAAGTGCAAACAGACAGTAGAGCCCCCCAGCTGTTGTTATATGTTATAACATGCATATTGATGGCATTGGTTTCAAAATTTGCTTTCAAATTAAACATCTTCAACAGTAATAAGTAAAATCATGGTCATACATCGACAATTTTTGGGTAAACCACATTTTAATGAACTTTAATCTTTAATACAGTACTTTATTGTGCATATATATCGTATTTAAACTAAATTAAAGCTTGTAATATTTTTACAAATTATTCATGTATCACTCGCAATGTAAAAACAAAACTGTCAATTATTATCATATAAGATTGCGCATTCAAATCATATTCTTCATTGCAGTTCACCATTGATTAATGTGCTTTGTATTTCTGTATTAAGTAAAGCTTATTCATACTCTAGTGGCAGTGCAGTTCACCATTGATTAACGTATATGTGCTTCGTACTTCTATAATCTATATACTATATACTATTCTATATATATTTCTATAATCTATATACTAAGCAAAGCGCATCCAAATTCCTGTGCTTCATATTTCTATACTAAGTAATTTAAAGCTTATACTAAAAGCTTAAACGTTATCCCAATGTCTACTTTCCGTTTCATATGAGCAAGCAAAAATCTCACAAGTTGTTCCAGACTTGCAACTGATTTACAAAATGTGAGATGCTTTCCTTTGTACGTGTTCTTCATATTATGTGCGATCTTTTCGGACATTCAACTCAACACATTGATTCTCAACACAGCACTGTTTGGAATGATAACATGTCTTCTTCTCGCAAATTTGTGCACGTGTGTGAGCTCCTGCCTCTAGTTTGCGACACTCACCGATGCATGTGTGCGCGCGACTCGCGCAAATGGGATTGGACAGGTTCGGAGGGAGGTTACGATCAGGGCAGGACCAAAATGTGTTCCTACATTCTTCACAGCAATCGTATGTGGGCTTGTGCATAAGAGGGCCATGGCCCAAATTCAATATTCCGACGGTAAAGCATGACTCAACAGGAAGCCAATCTGTATTGAGAGAAAAAACAAAAATGAAAACAGTTGTTGCGAAAAAAGCTCCGAATAAAAGTTTTTGAAACTCAATATTTGAAAAAAACAAATTCATTATCAGACTGAGCCATAATCGTACGCCTTTGGCACGTTCAATATTTGTCATTTCCTTAATTTTTTGAAATGAACGTAAAACAGTCAAGACTGTTGATAAAACCGGGATTCAATACTTGACTTGAAGCCAAATGGCAAATAATGAAAAAAAAAACCCCCTTTTCTTGGTTTTTGCACATGAATTTGGTCCCATTCAAGCAAGCTTCAATTTGTCTGTCACAGCGGATTTGGACTCCCCGCGGATATGGGCCCCCCGGTCCATATCAGCTAGCGGATTCGGACCCCTACGGTACATATCCGCCAGCTGATATGTACCCCCTTCCGCGGAATTGGACCCCCTAAAATTCACAAAAAGAAGAAGTTTTGAAACGATTTGCAGTTGAATGTGCATGGAAATTTAGGCGTCAGCTTAATTTAAATTATGATAACTAATGGCATGACTCAACTATCTTGGAATTTGCTTAATGACGAAAACAAGTATTGAGATGCTAATTTTATAAAAGTTTAGGGTTGAATGGAATGCATCACTTTGTTATGGGTATGTTAAGCCAAAAATAATTTGAAATATATTTTCATTTTCCGTTTTTATTTGAGAAGTTAAGAGTCAGAGCAGATAGCAATTCCAAGGAGTAAAATACTTGTGAAGGCTTCATGCGCTTTCGCCAGTTCTCACAAGCAGAAAAATTATAAATCATAAACTTTGACGGAATTCTCTAATCTAAAAATCTAAGATTTGATGATCTAAAAATCTTCGTACGGTTTTTAAAATAAATCAGATGAGATTTATGACGATTTAAAACGCTTTCAGTACAATATTCAAAATACGATACGTTGCAATGACAAAATACGCGAGGGGTCCAAATTCGCGAGGGGAGTCCAAATCCGCTAGCGAATAAAGACCCCCATAGGTCCATATTCGCTAGCGGATATGGACTCCCCGGTCCATATTCGCTAGCGGATTTGGACCGGGGGTCCATTTTGAGGGGGTCCAAATCTGCTGGGACACCTGCATACAAAAATTTATCCAATGTTCTTATTGAATATTTTGGTAAGCCATAGCAAAGACTCGAGATAGGAGGTTTTATTAGTATAGGTAATCACACGGGAAGGAGTGCAATTGATGATTAACACTACGAATGATTTTTGAAAAATGTGACAAAAGTGCACGAGCCGCCGGAGCGAGTGCAATTTGGCACATTTTTCAAATATCACGAGTAGTGTTAATCATTAATTGCACCACTTGCCCGTGTGATTATTTATTTATTATATGCATGACAAAATCGCTTTCTTGGAAATTCAACTGCATTTTGTCAAGAGTTCTTAATTCTTTTGTAAGCAATTTGGCATAAACAATCTTGGGAAATGATTATATACTCATAAAAGCACATAACTTAAACTAGAACACATGATTCAAATTCAAACAACATATTTTAGAGTAAGAAAATCTTTATAAATTGTATTACAGACTTACATAGTCACGTTTCGCTGCATCCCGCCGAGATTATTTCTTAAAACTGTTTCCAGGTATTTTCTACAGGCTCTTTTTGCCATATATACTTTTAAACTCATTCTTGTGCCAAAATTTAGTTAAATATCGATAAATTTCGCCGCCATATTGGATTTACCGGTAACCATGTGTAACCTAATTTTTGGGCAGATCTCACTTCGCAAAACGCAATGTTATAAGTGCGTGTTTTTCGTTGTTTAAATTTTATCAACAATCTGCAAATACTTGCTTACCGCCAACCCTCTCTTTTCCCGAACGCCTTCACTCGCCAGAATCTGTTTCACAGATTTCTTCCATGCTTCGAGCTTCGGATTTCGTGGACACCTCTGTGGCCTTTTCGGAAGCCAGCCTTCGCTGAGAAGTACCAACTGTAAAATCACCAATGCCAACAGTATTCCCTTCATGATTTCTCTAGTATATATACAAACGTGTAAACCAGTGCGTACATGGATTTATTTAGCCTGATAATATAAAATAAATTTATATCTATCATAACTCACATATTTACCTGCAAAGCGTTCCTTGAAAAAATGTTGTGCTTGTACCTCCAACGACTTCAGCAGAATTCTAAATTTCAACGCAGGCGCTCATTTTTATAACCTCGGCCGCGTAGTAGATCTACAGGCTCTGGGAACGAAGATGACCTCATGTATATATCAAACGCAGAACGTCGCTGAGTACGACTGCGCCATTGTGAATCGGTTTTAAATTAACATTGCATGCATGTCAGGATTTTCAGGTATAATTTTTAAAACGACAAACATCCACAAAATATATTGAGACTTTTGGAATCGACACTCCGCTTCCCCTATTTCAATGTTGAAAGTACTATTTAAAATATGAGCAGCAGTATTTTATCAGATCATATGACATATAAAGATAGGAAGCCGAGTATCTTTATAGGTCTGATAAAACATGCACTGCGAATGTTTTAAATTGCTTCAAAAAACGATCGATCTAGTAAGTTCATTGGCGAAGTAAATTTCAAATAATATGTCGTGTAGCTATAAATCGAGAAAATTAAAGTTCAAGTTTATGTAAATCAAGGGAAATCTCTATCTCATACAAAGATACGACACGCTTACGATTTTTCTTTGTGTTCTCCTCATGAATTATTAACGAGTTTTTGAAGGCAATTTTCTTTCTTAGAAGAAATATATGTGACACAATGATAAACTTTATTAATTCACTTTTGTCCTGTAAAATTAAGGTCTTTAATAAACAATCCATCTATCCATATTTGAATTACAATGCATGGCACAGCATAAAACAACTTCGAAATGGCCGGAAGGAGGTTTGTCTCAAATATTTTGATAGCAATTGAAGAACTTTAAAGAAGAAAGCAACTTGTTTATATATATTTATTTAATATTGCTTAATAGCCAAATAAAGCATTTATCAGCGAGTTATATATCAGATATGCATCGTTCGAGCTATATGAAGTTGGCTAACATGATACAGTACCAAGACAAGTTTATAGGTTTAGTAAAGTCATGAATCGCCATTTTGCATATATCGTATACGGTACAGCATTGTAGTACCTTTTGGACCTATTCCTTGGTCGTAGTGTAGACAGCAAATGTGAAAATGAGTATATTGTGAACGAGTTTTGTTAAATTCAACAACAAACTGTTCCTATATACCCAAAATTTGTAAATAATATTCAAAAAGGCATTAATAATTCATGAACCACAATTATCCAATCTTGAGTAAGAAATTAGTCACGTGCATATATACGTCTTTATACCAGCTAAAGAACACTTTAACAAAAGACCATTGTTATGCAAACTATATAAAGATTTTTATATAAAGATTTTTATATAAAGATTTGACTTATTATGCATACGTTTTTGAAGCTATTTAAAAAACTCACAGGTCGTGTTTTATTAGGTCTAAAGCAGGGCGCTATAAAACACGGGCGGGGAAACGCGCTAATAAATGACCGTGCTACGTGTGATGTCATTAGGATTGGCGCGAGCGCGCTTTCTCTAAAAAAATCAGAAAATCGCGTACAAGATGGCAACAAAAAAATGTAAACAAGCAAACGAGAAAACAAAGGATTTAAATGCTAAGTAATTATGTTTCGTTCATTAAAATTTGAAATATTATTTAATAAGTTATATCACGTGTAATAGCTTGTGTTGTTTGTTACTGAACACTCGGTGAATGAAAATATCAGGGCAAAAATTTTACTCGAGCGATGAAAATATTCGCAAAATTCAAAGCGCGGACGTGTTTAAAATAGTGTTTTCTCCTCGTTGAGATAGGTTGAGATAAATTTGAACACACCAAACTATAGACATTTAACTTGGCTTTATGTCTCAAGTAAAATTGAACGGTGCTTTTTTGTGCTTTTTTCAGAAAAAGGAGATATCTTGCAGCCTTTATAGTTTTCCGTATACTCCACACGACAATAGAGACAACTCATTTATGCAGATAATACGATATTTAAACAACACAAATTTTCAATTATTAATTAAACGAAATCACTTTCTGCCTCAAATACATACTATAAATGTTTATTGAAGTATCTAGTATCAGCTTATATTGCTAAAATTGGTATCTATTTCACTTGCAAAATGAACAAAGCGATTGTTGAGGAAAAGACATGCATTTTGAACTCGATTTTGACGACATTTTTTCTTTCTTGTCAAAGCGCGGACGTGTTTAAAATAGTGATCTCTCCTCGTTGAGATAGGTTGAGATAAAATTGAACACACCAAACTATAGACATTTAACTTGGCTTTATGTCTCAAGTAAAATTGAACGGTGCTTTTTTGTGCTTTTTTCATAAAACGGAGATATCTTGCAGCCTTTATAGTTTTCCGTATACGGACCACACGACAATATAGATTCGCGAGTACTATATTTATGCACATAAGACGATATTTAAACAACACAAATTTTCATTTATCATTTGAACGAAATCACTTCCTGCTTCAAATACATACTATAAACGTTAAGTGAAGGATCTAGTATCAGCTTGTATAGTTAAAATTTATATTTATTTCACATGCAAAATGAACAAAGCGATTGTTGAGGAAAAGACATGCATTTTGAACTCGATTTTGACGACATTTTTTTCTTTTTTGTCAAAGCGCGGACGTGTTTAAAATAGTGATTTCTCCTCGTTGAGATAGGTTGAGATAAAATTGAACACACCAAACTATAGACATTTAACTTGGCTTTATGTCTCACGTAAAATTGAACGGTGCTTTTTTGTGCTTTTTTCATAAAATGGAGATATTTTGAAGCCTTTATAGCTTTCCGCAACACTGTCACTGCAATGTCAACGACTACAATCGTACGAAAAAAGATTCACGCTGAATATTTTTGGAGTGTCGGCGGCAGTTATACTCCAATAATAGAAATCAAATCAATTAGTAAAACACTTTATAATGAACTTTCAGTGGATTTCCAAGCAGGCCGGCTGATTAACACAAAAAACGGTTATATATTTAAGTTTTCAAATTGTCGAACAAAATGAAATTGTAGTTGGTTTTTTTTTCAAATTCTACCTGTTTTAAATGCATGCACTGTCAATTTTGGGCTATATATGTTTATTGAAAAAGAGTGGCCAAGCAATGTCAGAATATTCTTACTGTGAAAATGTTTGTCCTACCTTCGCATTATGAAGTAAAATATCCCATTTCATACCAAAATTTTCGTATTTGGAATATGCCCACATTCGATCAGCTCGATTCCTTTTCAAATTTTTATTTCGCTCATGATGAATCTTTAAAGCACTTTTTCCTTCATCAGATATACAGAAAATGAATTCAACAATGTCTTCAAACAATCAAGTTGTTTAGGAATGTGCAGAAAACATTTTTTACTTTAGTTTTTTCAGCTCTTTTTGCATAAACATTCCAATTCCATTTTTATTGACATATAAATTAATGTATACGGGGGGTACGCGCATCACACAAAGATCAGGGGCGCTATCTCCGTTTCACCGCCCGTGTTTTATAGCGCCCTGTTATCGATTTCTCGCTCTGCGCCGTCATTGTTCGGTCGATTTCGCTGTGTTTACACCTCGAGGTTTCAAAAGATTCGGAAAAGATTTATCGAAAAAAAATTGTAAATTGGTGAATTTTTGCACTATACATGGAAAGAAAGCTTCGTTTTTGGGTGGACACGAGCTTCTGTGTGTTCACTGTGTGTCAAAACAGCCTTTAATCTTGATTTCGGAAGAATTACCGTGTGATGAACTTGAATGTCGTGAGGATCATGTTTATAGTTTTTAATACAGATAGTTCGAAGAATAGTCCTTTGTCCAGCTCTGGTTAACGGAATAAAAATTGATGAAATGTTCGCTGATTGCGGTTGTCCTCCACTGGTACAAATTCACTCTAGTTGTGTTTTTAAGGTGAGATGATTTTTATATAAAAATAGAAATATAAAAATGCTCCTATGTTGTATAAATACAGCAGTATTAAACGTATTTTTATTTCATATCATGTAGTTCTTCGACCCTAATGATCTACGGGAAGGAAGTATAAACAAAGAATATAGCAATGTTATGTTGTGGGAGTTTGACATTTCAACATCACCAACATCCCAAGCAATCCCACTATGTGACCCAGATAGTCAAGATGATGAGCTGGATAGTGTACTTCCACCAATAGAATTACATCAGCTAACTGATTGTATAACTGTTTTAATTTACCAATAAACCCTGTTTGCCCTGACAGACATTCATACACACTGAATGATGGAAGAAGCGCCCAGTGGTAGCATTGTTGTAAAGAATGAAATGAAGGAAATTCAACACTATCGCAACACTATATATAAATGTATTGACTACTGTGTGATGCATTGCAAGGATTTATACTGATCAATGTGATCAACCAGTTATATATGCTCAAATGATCAACCAGTTGTCTATTATTTTACTCTGCCTAACGCCAGATTATTTTGCTGTCTAATACTAGACTATTTACTCATCAGCGGGAGACTGCTGACACTCAATGGGTTAAAAAACATTGAAAGAAAATGTTTAGCAGAAGCTGAAAAATTGTTTATTGGTGTCTGGTGTAATACTGATAATTCTTTTATTTGTAAGGATAGAGCTGGGGAGCTTCTAATGGTGCAGTCTTGGCCCTACCCCAGTTTTCCTATACTGCATGTGTTTTTGTCACTTCCCTGATTCTACCATAAGTATTGTATCCCATGGACCGCATCTTATCAGTTCTGCAGTTTTTTGACAATCTACTGTATTAAACCTCCACCTAAAAGCACTGGGCTTATATTCTTTTGTAAGCGATTTTTGATGGGCTTACACAAGGGGGGCTTATACATGGGGGTTGGGGGGGGGGGCTTATATTCAGAGGTTTATGGTATGTATGGTTTTCATGATTTTCAGTGTATAGTCTTCCCTTGCTCATCACAAATTAATAAAAAGATCACACTACATAATTGATGTTGATAAAATTTATTTATTTTAAAATCGAAAAAATATTAACATAATATTGCTGTACTTAAAGATAATTAAAATGTTTTTAAAAATAAAATTTTATGCACACAATTTTAAAATATTGCACACATTCATTTCACCAGTACACATGGATACTATATGATAAAGTATATGAAAGGTGATGCTTTTGCTCTAGCTTAATGATGTATTAAAACAATCTAGAGGTATTACATAATTGGTAAACCTCTTCAATCGTAATGATTTTCTGCAACAGATATGAATTCAATGAATGCTTTATCTTCCTCAAATGTCCACTTATGAAGTTTAACTGGGAATTTCTTTGGAGGAGTCGTTTAATCTTTCTGATAAGAAACTACAAAACAAACAGCAAAAGTGAGAGGGGCAATGTTAGTGCCAGCACAATTAGACAACAACAAAGAAACTCATGGATTTTTACTAGGATTGTGTGCATGCTTCTCCAGGAAATTTGTGTACTATAGGTTTTCTGGAATGCCCAGCATTGAAAAATAATGTTGGCGTACGGGTGGATAGAAATTGCCCAACACTGTCATGAGTTTGTGAACAAGAGGTATAAAATAGAAGGAATACATCTCCTATACAGACTAGCAGAAATACTGTTTAAAGTCAATCTTAAAACAATTGCCCAATTTTTAAAGCAGAATTCTGCCCAACTAAACACTGACTGGAGGGGTTGCACCCCCCCCGAGCCTCATATGCCTATGGACAGAAATTCTCCCAGGCAGAAAAGCATAATTTAAAATACAATGTTGCTGTCACTATGATAATAACTCAAGCCCCCATTATTAACATATTGTTTCATTAAAAACTGATATAATACAATGTTTTTGTGCAATCATACTGTATTTGTAATATGTTTGTAAAAACATTTGTACTTTTAAATACACCTTGGGCCCTTGGCTTTGGACTCTGAAACAAAGTTCGGCTTGATGTTGAATTTTTCAAACGAGAAATTCTGTGTCTTTTATTATTAGGTTTCCCTGGGGGAAATATGTACGAACATATATGCGTGTGTTCCAAAATTATCATGGAAAATAGTGTTTATCGTGATAATTTCCTTCGCGCCATGATGATTATCAGGCGGTCTATTCCCGCCATCGGCGATAGAATATAGCAAAAGTACCGCGATTACTCGTCGGTTTAGTGGAGCAAATTCATGTTTTAAAGTAACAGTAGAAAGAATAAATCTTCCCGAATTCGATGACGTGTTTTGTTTTTATTTTCCTAAAAAAAAAAGTGAATTTGCTTCTGCATTATATCAAGGTCATTTTATTGGCGTGTCCACTGACCCGGAACAAGCATAATTACAATACGTAATTAGTATAACTGAAAAGCAATTCCTGTACCAAATAAGTCAAAAATAGTGTAATTAGGTTCTTAAATAATACAAATATAAAAACATACCTTCGAAAAAACGAGATATACGAAGCCAAAATCGCAATGTATTTCAACAACTTTTCGCCAAACGTTCGTTGAAAATCGTAATTGTGAATAATAATGAGACGCAATGCATTCTGGGAAGACCCTCATTCCTCCTCTGGCTATATGTATAAAGGAAAGCAATCGAGGTCTTCACTAGCCTGCGGTGCAGACGCAATTTCCCGCAACGTACCTCCCGCGGGTAAATTAATTTACCCGCTTAATTTACCCGCGGGAGGTACGTTGCGGGAAATTGCGTCTGCACCGCAGGCTAGGTCTTCACCAGTTCGTGGTTGGATCTCCAAGTTAAAAGACCTCGCGCAAGTACTTGGAACACTTACAGCTCTTCTGAAGTCAAAATGGTTTTGCTCGTGTTGGTTATGGTACTGGCAGTCGCGGTGTCCCCTGCAGCTCCTAGCAACGTGAGTTTGCTTTTGCTTTATATAAGATGGTCTATTTTAGAACCATCACCAGAGGAATATATATAATACCATACATTCATAGTACAAATCCAATCCTGCTTTGTTAACATGCTGCTTTCCAACCGGCACATTTAGCGCGCTAGACTGTAGCCGAACGAGCGTCCTGGTACACATTGTGCTAAGTGCATATACATGCATAGGTCGCAAGCTATCGATAGACAAATTTTGGCGAATCTCACCATCCCTGCCTTACGTCGCTGAGTTTTGAGATTGAGGCTTAACTTGCATGCCGTTCATATTAATATATAGTCCTAACAAATATACCCATGCATAAACTAATCTTAACCGTTCAGAAATTCTTAGACTAAACCTAATCATATATACCCCTACGCTTTTAATTTTATAACCCAAATCCTTAAGGGGGTCTATTATAGGGAGTTGGTCTCTCTGCAAACCGTTAGAGAGGTTTAACAAAGACGACGCGACGTCAAAGACGACGTCGCGTTGTCTTTGCTAAACCTCTATTTTCTTCGTGAAAACCGTAACCGTCATTTTTCTTATGCAGTAAAATTTTATCGGCCAGAAACTTCGCAACGATCGACAAGAGGACAAAGATGGCAGATTTTCGTTGAGAAACATTTAACTGTATGATACATATACTGGAATCTCGTTGGGCGCCTCGCAAGTTGCAGACCCAAATAGAACACAATAGGTTGATATCTCTCTGAAGAATTTCAATACTGCATGTAGCTGTAACAATTATTGCAAGCTCGTGGGGGAGTACAGACAGAATGTCTGCAGGAATTGAAATTCATTTGCTGCCATTTTTCAGAACAAAGAAAATTAAAAACAAAATACTTCAGCCGTTTATTATAAAAAAATACTTAATCTTAAGCCTTTTACAACGTAAGTACAGAAGCTAGCCTATTATAGGAAACTTTAGTCTGCATATTGTCAGTTCTAAACTCTTCTCCCTAAAGGTCCAGTAAGGACTATCTTTCATCGGTCAAGTGTGTTACCAGCTACAGGAGGAAGCTTTAACTAAACCAACTTTATAAACCAATAGTGCGTGCTTGCTGCATAACTTTCTGCATAACGTTGGTGCATGAAAAGAATCAACAATATACAGGCTATACAGCCAATTCAAATTAGAAGGTAATCCTTTGAAAAACATTGATATAGATTTATTTAACCACGCTAACCTCGTCAACTACAGCTGATTTCCACGAGGGGCGTGTGAACAAGAAGTATACAGCAGGCGCAAATATGAAAAGTATTTAAAAGCTATTTACAAAATAGAAAACATAGTATAAAATATATTAAGTATATGAGATAATAATGTATTTACAGATGCATATATTTGCTTTAATTATCAATGTGAGCAGCGATTTTCGTCCAAAAAGAAGAAAGGGATTTGCTCTCTTTAATTTCCTTTGGAATAGAATTCCAAAGGAATGATCCATCGTACATAAAACTTTTTTTCAAATTATTAGTCCGCGGTTGCGGTAAACAAAGAGTACTTGAAACGTTTCGAAGATTATAGCTAGTCATCTCACTTTTATAAGTGAATAAGTTAGAGGGCCCATGTTATTTAATAATTTATACATCATTTTTGCCTTGGCTTTCTTCCTTTCTACTTTAAGTGTCTTCCAGCCCAATGCTTGCAATGCTACAGAATGATCTGTGTCATTGCTCATATTCATGATAATTCGAGCAGCTCTATTTTGGAGTTTTTGAAGTCGTTTTGATTGTGTTTCACCGAACACATCCCATACTTCACAGCAGTAATCGAAGTACGGGCGAACAATAGCATTATAAACAGAATTGCCTGTCAACAAAATCCTTTAAACGTCTAAGAGCAGAAATTCCTGATGTTATTTTCCTGCAAATATTTTCAGTGTTACTTTTCCACGACAAATGCTGGTCGACTGTCACACCAAGAGTTTTGCACTCATGCACTTGTTTAATCTGTTTGTTTTCAATTACCACATTTGGCTGCAAATTTGAAACGCTTTTAATCATTTGTTTTCAGCCAATTAACATAAATTCAGTTTTTGCAACATTGAGGCTAAGTTTATTGGCAATTAGCCATTTTTTTAGGTTTTCTAAATCAGAATTCACTGCAGCTTCAAGACGAGTCATCGAGTCGCCAGAAGCTGTCAGGTTTGTGTCATCAGCAAATAACCGAGGTTTTGTTTTTGATAAACATTGGGGCAAATCATTGATGTACAATAAAAAGAATAATGGCCCTAAAATAGAGCCCTGTGGCACACCACATCTAATCACTTTCTCCGATGACAAAAATCCATTTATTTGGCATTTCTGACTTCGATTTGAGAGATATGAATTGAGAAAAGATAGTGCCTGGCCTTTTATACCATACAGCTCTAATTTCCTCAATAAAATTTGATGGTCGACTGTATCAAATGCTTTTTTTAAGTCAATTAGGACAACCAGGTTAAACATTTTTCTGTCTAAATTCACATACCAGTCATTTGTACAATCTAATAATGCAGTAGCCGTAGAATGAAATTTTCGAAAACCAAATTGGCTATCACTTAAAAGTCTAAATTTGGATAAGTAATTGTACAGTTGATTATACAGAATGTTTTCCATAATTTTGCTAATGGCTGGCAGGACAGAAATTGGTCTGTAATTTCCTGCCACATTACGTTGGCCATTTTTGTACAGAGGTATTACTCTAGCCATTTTCCATTCATCTGGGAATGAGGACAGAGTAATGGCCTGATTAAAAATATGTGTTAGTGAATCTGAGATAGCAGGTGAAGCAATCTTAATAATTTTGCAAGAAATTTTGTCGACACCAGTGGCTTTGTTGCTTGAGAGACCAGTCAGAAGATGGTAGACGTGATTGACCGTGACAGGTTGGAATGCGGTGAATTCTGATTCAGTATTTTTGACATATGTTTCAAAGTTCAAATTTGAAGTATTAATTTGGCTAGCTAAATTTGGGCCAATATTTGAAAAATAATCATTAAACTCTACTAAGCGCTTAAAGCTTAATGGGAACACAAGTTTCAAGCTTAGTAGTTGAATATTGCAGCTATTTGTGGGTTAGGTGGAAAACGCGGACATGCGGACATGCGGACATGTGGACACGCGGACATGCGGATACGCAAGTCAAGTGGAAAACGCGGACATGCGACATGCGGACACGCAAGTCAAGTGGAAAACGCGGACATGCGGACACGCAAGTCAAGTGGAAAACGCGGACATGCGGACACGCAAGTCAAGTGGAAAACGCGGACATGCGGACACGCAAGTCAAGTGGAAAACGCGGACATGCGGACACGAAA